CACATGCAGGGAAGCCCTGGAGCACCCTCCAGGTTAGCATCTGTCAAGAGGCCTTTTTGGGTTGAAGAAGGCTAGATGACATTCAGCTGAAAGCCTGCCTCGATGTGCCAGGGATTTAAGCAATGATGGTGGTGGTGTAGCATTGTTACCAGGCAGTCACTCTCCCGAGGCCCCGTGCACCCCGCAGCACACTGGTTGTGGCAGCAGTCGCTGGGCACCTTTCCCCTGCACCGGCCAGAGCACTGCTGGGCACAAATGACTTTTGTTACTGGAAGATAAAAGAAAAAACAAAAACCATCAGCTTTACTTGCTGCAATGAGACAAAGAAATAAATACAGAGAAGTGGTCTAGAGTAGGATCTATGCTAGATTTTCCTCATGGGAGGCACATTCTGTCCTTATATAAGGAAAAGTTTGGGAGGGGTGAGAGCTGGCGTGGGTGGTGGCGAGAAGGGGTTGTGTTCAGCCTGTAATTCTCTTGGCTCTTGTGAGGTGCTAAGAACTCTGATCCCAGCCAGGAAATATGCCCAGTGTAGAAAGAGCATCCAGGTCCCTATTGCATCAAGACCAAGAAAAACTCTGTGGAGTCATTGCATCTTACAGCTGGGAAACAGAGCAGGATCTGTCTCCGTTTCATTAAAAAAGTCTACTATTATTGCTGCTAGCTTTGGGAAAAACAACATGACAGAACTGCCAGGACTCTACTATATTGGGAAACTGTGCATTGTTGGTGTAGTGTCAGGATCCCTTCAATGCACAAAAAATACTTCTGAAATTTGCAGAGAGAGGGGAGACTCGCTCAGCAAACAGATTTCATATGCACATCGAATTATTTTTCTTTAGGCTTCAATTCCTTGGCCAAATTTTATCTTATTACACAATTCCCACAGGGTTTGCACCAGTGCAACAACCCGGAGGAAGAACTGGCCCTGGTTCAGCTTTTTGTAGGGAAGCAAAAACTGCCTGTAACATTTTGTTGAGAATTGGAAAAGTGTCTCCATTTGAATATCAAAGCAGACAAAAGGATAATCAGAACAATTAAAAAAACCAAACAGAAATGAAAGGCTAGTGTGTGTTTGTACCAGAGACCCAAAACAGGATTGTTTGTTCTCTACAAAAAAAATGACTGATCCACAGAGCCTGGCATTACACACCAGAGAAACCTGATGGCTACTCTGCTGTGCTGCAGTACCCTAAGCTTTTCAGCTGTGTGCTATGCTAACTGTTCTCAACTTCACAATTCACACAAATGGCTTACAATATCACCAGGAATTCCTGTAAGTCTGAAACAGACATTTGTTAATTAAAAGAAAATTCTTGCAAAACAAAGCGTGTTACAGTGATTTTAAAAATTATATATTCTATCTTTTTCCATTACACACTTTGACATCCAAACTGTATTTTATTTTTCTTGTAGACCTGTAAACAAAGTAGCATGTATTCAAGGAAATAGATTATTTCCTCAATATGTATTAGCTTTTCTGAGAGCAACTCCTCCATTCAACTAGAAACAGGGGAATAAAAGGCACATTGTTCTACGTGAACAGTATTTTGATATAATATTTTTCATAAGCATTAGCAGGGGAGTAAAGCACCTCATCATTTTGATAGCTATTGACAAGAGCTTCCTGCTGGAAACGTGTATCACAGCGAACATTTTTACTTTATACAGAATATCCCACGTGCAATTTCAGGAGAAAGATATGTGTTCCTCAAACTTTCCCACATATGGAAATGTGGGATATATTTTCAGTTGGCCAGATTCTCAAATGCCTGGAGAGGCGAGCAAGAACGTGCCAAAGGTTTTGTTTTATGCACTCACAGTCAACCTCCCAAATCCACCAAGAGTTTGCAAATACTGGAAGCTTGCAGCACTGAAACCTGAGGTTTTGCAAGCCCCTGGGACAGCTGTGCAGTTTCAGCTGCAGGGACCAACCTGGGAAGAGCTTTGTGTGTGCAGCCACTGTTCACTTTGAGAGCCAAACTGCAGAGCTGACTGAAAAACCCTAAAGCTTATATTAAATGAAGAGAGAAAAGGTATGCGTTCCTCTTTCCTCAAGCTCCAAATCCTACAGATTTGGCTTGATATTTGCAGACAAGAAACTTAGGTTTAGGTGATTATTTGCAATGGAAAACTGAACATATGATGTTGCTTCCATTTGCATTATGTCTAGATCAGCAGTTTTTCCTGTGAACTTTTCACAAAACAAAGAATCAGAAACAGTGTATTTCCCCACTTTTTACAGAAAAAAAGACATAATGAAGTAGTAAAGCAAACTGAGATAGTATTCATCCTCAGCCTTTACTTTAGGAAGAATAAAACCTCACAAAATCTCAAGCACTTCTAAATGGATATTACTGTTGCTCTCTTAATATCAGGCAAACATCCTACCTACAAAATTTTACTGTAAAACACAGGCAGCCAAATATTTCCATCCAGAAATTAAAAAATAGCTACACATTTTCAGAGAGCCTTTCAAAAGTCCTCCAAGTACAGTATGTTGTGTGATTACCCTCATGAAGGTGATGTTTTTTGCGTTTACAAAAGAAACCTATGGGGATTCCAAAAAGAGGAATTAAAGCCAACAAAAATTGGGTTATGTTGCTATTTCTAAGAGTAGAAAAAAAATCCAAAGTATTATTAATTGGCCTGCAGAATGGCTCTGCAGGAAACAGTGGGAAGGCAAACAACCACCACGCAGCTACTGCCTTCTCTCTTATATGGCAAAATAACTGAAAGAATAAATGCTCTCAAGTACAGATAGGAGAAAGCTGTGGGCAACACACAAAAGCTTTCATTGCAGGAGACACCTGCAGAATTTTGCTTCTGGAGGAACAACATATCTGCAGGGAAATCCAAACCCAAGGCAAACCACCTCAAGGTTTCCCCTCCAGAAATGGAGCTACGCATGGGGATCAGGAGTATCTGTCTTCTCTGTGACTGCTCTTCTGCAGGCCATGTCTGTCCATGGTGTGCTCCAAGAACCTCAGCGTAGCAGAATGCAGAGATGGATGAGTGTGATACACGTCACTAATTTGCACTTGACAGGTTAGTTTTTTGGTAGATACAAACTTAGTTTGTCAAAGCACACAAGCTAATCTGAAAGCTTACATGTCTGGCAGTTCGATTCACCAGGGCCCCAGCAGTGGTTTTCTGTGCAGTTTGGATGGCACTTGGGACCTAAAGCATGAGAGCAGAGTATAATAATCTGTAAACATGGAAAACAACAACATAACAATAAGCCACAGAAAACAGCGATTTGAGATTTCCTTCTTGATAAACCACGGGAGGAAGCACCTATATAACGGTGCTCAAAAATTTTGAGGGCTTAAATCCTTATCCTTTGTTCATCTCTGCTTTCCTACGTGCAGTTCTCCACCTCCACACCTTTGAGCAAGGGAGAGCAATACCCAGACAGTCTAGCTTACAAAAGAGGCATATTTTTCCCAGGAACAGGAATCTCAGCTACTGCCTGGCTGGCCCCTCTGCTGGGGTTTGCATGCAATGGCAAGTCAGTACTGGCTTGCAGCAGGGCATGTGCCAGCTGCTCACTACATGCCACATGTAAATCAGTGTTTCTGAACAACGCAGTTCTAAAAAGAAAACAAATCCAACTGCCAGCTACTCTGACCACAAAGTAATTTGACTTGTCTGCTTTGCACCCTCCTCCCACCCTCTGCCAAAAATACTCCTTGGTGTAGGACTACACTGCAGATGGACAATTGACAGAGAGGTAATAGGATGGACAGACACCTTGCCTGACCTTGAAGGTTCAGTGCTGAGTTCTTTCCCATCTCTTCATCCTTACTCTTGTCTTTCTTTTAGTTTCTCTTAATGATAAGTAAAGTCCCAGAGAAACAAGTTACTTTAGATTATGGGATCATCATTAGCACCGTAAATGGCTGTCTGAGCAGATTAATGTGGAATTCACTACCTTTAAAAGGCATTTCCTACCAGAGTGATTCTGCCTCCTAACAACATGTGATTCTCCCTCCCTTGCATCGTCCATCAAATAGCTGAACAAATGCCAAAAATTGTCCAAGAGTTGATTGATTTGGTCTGGGTCCAAAGAATTTTTATTTTTTTTAAAAGATGAAAAGTCAAAGGTTAACATTTCTGTTCAGAGCCAAACTCCTGTGCTGGCACGTATAGTTCACAACTCCTTGGTTACACTAGGGCTCCACAGAAAAATAAGTCAATACAGAAACTGGCTATTAGCTCTCAGGCAATTATGCAACTGGAAGAAGATAAAGAAAATATGTATTTATATGCCAGAAAAGAAAGGCTTAGAAATGAAAATAAACTCTCCTTTCTGTGAAATGACTGGGGATTTTACAAGGGACTCATAAGGCTGAAGGATTAGCTTGAGCCCACTCTGAGCCTACGCTACGTGAACTTTTAAATATCTCATCTCCCCTGCTGATCTGAAGCAGCAGATTTATCTGCCTGTTTAACATTACTTTTGCAAGGGTAATCTGTGCAGCCCAGAACAGCAGAGTTTTACTTTTTACCGAAGCACTCAACTTGGGCCTTAGCACTAAAAAGACTTCATGTAACTCCATGAAGGTACCTATATGAGTTTTCTAGACTGGAGCCTTATGTTGTAAACAGAAGACTGCTGTGAAGCAAATGAGTGCATGTTTTTCTGAACTGTCTTTGAAGAACACATGTGTAGGGTACTGCCTTAAACCAAGAGAAACATTCCCAAGAACTTTGCTGAGCTGTGAGTTAAGGACCTAACCACCATGAAAAATTCTGTCTTAGGCCAGTGGTGCAGAAATGAAAGGACTTCCCATGGAACAGAGCTTGGTGACCCTCATGTAGAAATTGTTGGGCCAGAAACCCAGTGCATGAAAGCTGAGATATTCATTCTACTCTCTGAAATGGGGGAGGGGAGTGCACATAGCAGTTTTTGTAAGTTGGTACTCACAAGAAGACAGGTTGCTTGCAAATTCAAGTACTGTGAGAGGCTTCTTGTTCTTGTCGATGATGTCATTCCAGAGAACAGTGTCCATGTTGCACAGTTTAGGGTTGTTGCTGATTTTAACGCCTCCATTGAGAATTTCTGTCACAGAAAGAAAAAACTGGTAAGTGAAGTAAATTACCTATGACTTCTGTCTCTGATCTAAAGAAAGAGACATAAACCACGTATTTCTCCACCTCAGTCATACAATGCTGACAGAAAAGGACAATCTGCATGGCACCAACTCTTCTGATGGTATAAATAACACCTGGCTCAGATCAACAGGTTCTGGAGAGTCAGCTGCTGTTTGATGCCACGAAGATGCTGCTACAGATGGTTTTGTGCCTGGTGCCACCTCTGGAGACCAGAGCACTCAGCAGAGATGGCACTGCTGGTGTGCATAGCCAGAGACCCTAATGCACATATCACCAGCTCCCACAGGGATTTAGCAGAAAATATGGACATGTATGCACTGGAATCGAATACCACAAAATAACTGCTTTGCCAGTTTGGGGGCACAAATTCACGTTGTCCCACTGATGTTTTGGATTTTCTGTACCTTTCTGTAATGGGAAATTATGAACTTTCTTCATCTTTTGAAGAAGACTGGCTAGTAGGAAAGCAATTGGGAAACTACATTTGGATCCTTGTTTTCAAAGCAGGATTTGATGGCATGTGACTTTGAGAGGCAATCCCCAATCGGATCTTGATATCAATAACCCTAACAGTTGAAGTTTTCTTTAGAGGTACCTCTACCTCTTGCCCTCATCTCACCTGAGAGCCGTTTCATTGGCAGCTGTCGGAGACCCTGGGTTTTATTCATGTGGTAATTGGATAAAACTGCCAGGGCATAAGAGTTGTCATACAGCACATTGCCTCGGATGATCTGGAGGTTTTCTAGGGGAATGACATCCACCATGTTAAGTGCGATGAGCACATAGCCTGCAACCTCCTGTATAGTCTGAGAGAACAACAGAAGAAACAAGGTGCTTAATCCACAGTACTCTTGAACAATCACTTTCCTCCTCCCATCCCTCCAATCCACCATCTTTCAATTTTAAGGAATGATAAGCCACCTAACCTCATTAAAAACCAATAAATCCGAGAACAAAAATAGACCATGTGGAAAACTTTGATGGTTAAGCAGTTATAAACTCATCTTTCAAGCAGCTACCAGGGGGTCATTCCAAAGGTCCAGCTTACCCCTGTTCTGTCCCCAAGCACGAGTAAGTGGGGCTGACTAGGGGATGCAGGAGAACAGGGCAAGCATGTATGGCAACTAAGTGTGATGCATCCTCTGAGAACATGCCTTGTCTCCAACCACTGGCAGCACAGAGATGCCATCTGATTCAGGCTTTTACATTCTCTCTTCTGTGCCTCTCCCCTTGCAGATCCTCAAATGCTTATCAGAGGGGGAGGTCAGGTAACCCTCTCCTTTTTAAGTGATATATATTTACAGGACAAAGAGACAAGAGAGGCACTGCCCCTGCATGTAGGTTAATTACTGCCTTGCACTGTGAAATGTAGGCATTTCTATCTCCTACAAAAATCACCATTAATTAGAAACCCTCAGGCTACTACTTAGGATATTTTCCTATCCTATGAAGACTACCAGTGAATTTTCAAGAGACCTGTTGTGTTCCTGGGAACTCTGAACTCCATGGTCAAGGTGTGGTTGGGAAAGAATAATGGCAATACCATCATATTTGTAACCCATGCTTCTGAACCATGTGTTTTCTGAGGTTCTTGCTTGTTACCTGCTGAAGGAGAACCAGGAGGTCTCCATGTCAGACAATACTCTTCCCCATGCCATGACTCTTTTCAACATCCTTCTCCTGTCTGTTCCCCACCTCAGCTTGCCATAGCTGCTCATGCACTTGTGCGCAAAACAAATGTTGAGATGAGAGTAGCCCATGTGTCAGCTGCACAGGATTATCTTGAAGATTGCTCAAAGCATCCACGTGGGAAGCTATTGCACAGGATTCGCCTGCCTGCTCAGGGTGTGAGTGGTGCAGGCAGGAGGGGCACTCACCACCACAGCAGGGGAAGCAGTCACAGTTTGGAGGGCAGGAAAAAGGCCTCCACACTTCAAAATCTTCCATCAGTAAGCTCCCACTCTGTGTTTTGCTTTGCCCAACAGCACTACAAAGCCTTTTGCTCTCTGGGAAGTGAGGCAATGGGTAAAGATGTAATTATAATTATAAATAAGAAGAAATCCATCTGCACAGCACCCAGCACAGGCTAGCAAGTGCTTGAAAAGCTATTTCTCAAAGAACCTGATTTGTATAGTAGGACTGAGAGTATTCTGCAACCTACAAGTATGCTTAGACTGTGAGCTGAAATTTCTCTAACATTACCCAGCTACGTTTTCGGATTGCCACAAAATTTTATGAGTAGCTGATCCTTTGCACTTAAAAAGTGGAGTAAGATTCCTTTAGCAGAGAAGGCCACATTGGCTATGAACACTAACCTTCAGGAAAGAGAGGTCACGATTATGTTCCACATATGTAATCTCCAGGTTGCTGAGTACCACCTCACAATTGTTGTACATCCTCTGCAGGCTAGTGAAATGGTCTTCCACATGTCCCAGTTGGGTCAGCTTGTTATTTGTCCCTTGACAAACTGTTGAGGAAAGAAGAAAACTCCATGAAGGAAAGTAAGAATAAGTACAGAACAAAGACTTGTTGCCCATCTACCTTTACAAGCAACATGGTAAATTAAGCATTAGCTTTATAAGAAACAAGAACATTATCAGGCACAGGTTTAATGGCAACAGTGTAGCAAGTATGCAATTTTTCCCAGGTGCAGAGATATACCAGAATTAAGGGCTGGAATAACCCTTCACCACTTTCTGTTATATAAAAACCACCAAAATGAGGCTTTTCTACATAACTAGCACATAGTTTTCTGTATCACAAGCATAACTCAGTTTCTCATGGAAGGATATTGATACAGTACCATCAAACACTACAGAAAGTAGTATGCTGCCAGGTACCAACCAAAGATGATTTTCCTAAGGACCTGTTTACATTACTTTTGGGGGCATTGGGTCTTCTTGTAAGCTCAGTGGGAGGAAGCAGGGGCTTCCTGCAGGACTCCTCAAGCTACAAACCCAGGTTTTAAGAGCAAACTGATCCTCCAGGCCTTACACATCTCTTGCCACTCTGACGTTTTGGGAGTATGATAGATACAGGAGATTGCCTGGCATATTCGGCTTTGGCACAAAAATTCATCATTGCTTGCTTGGATGGTGGAGAAAAAAGGGGTGTCACAAAGAGCATCACTGAGATTCCAAACATTTATAACAGCATGATGGAAAAATTAGTCCCCACCTGAAATTATATTACTCTGCTTTATCAAATCTAGAGGAACTGACAAAAGTTATCACCACCATATTTGATTGCAATGAAAGAGCAAAATGCAAATTTCTCTGAAGAAAAAACACCACACAACCCCAAAAAACTATACTCATCCAGTCTTTACTTTCCCTAGCCCTATACACTTAAAATGAAGGCATTTCTGAGTTATGCTAATACAAAGGAAAGAAGAACAATATAGAAGGCAACATATTCAAAAACTCCATAACCCTTCCAGGTGGAAAGCTTCAGTCCAGCTTTGCTCTTCACTCATCATCGCTATAATGCAATCCCAGACTGACCACATGGTTTTTCATAACACACTGAAAGAATTGCATTCTTTTAACTTAAATGAAGGCATTTCTGAGTTATGCTAATACAAAGGAAAGAAGAACAATATAGAAGGCAACATATTCAAAAACTCCATAACCCTTCCAGGTGGAAAGCTTCAGTCCAGCTTTGCTCTTCACTCATCATCGCTATAATGCAATCCCAGACTGACCACATGGTTTTTCATAACACACTGAAAGAATTGCATTCTTTTAACTTGGAGAAAATAATGCATGAGTTCTGTAGAGCCATAATTCCTAGAAGCACCAATCACAAACTGGAACACCACTGTGTGGGGTGGTGCAAAGCAAATAACAAAGACTTGTGACAAATCTGGAAATAGGTTTCAGTGCTAGTAGCATAAGACGACACCTACTGAAGATTTACCGAACAACTCATGTTGTATTAGTAGGAAAAATAACTTAATAATAAGTGATAAGAACACACTTATTAGTCATCAAAACTATTCACCAAACATGTGTTACTTCTCAGTACAGCCATCAGCACTAAGGAGTTACAGTGACAACAGATTAAATACTCTTGGACCATGTTTAAAGCAAGGCTATTCACTCACATTCCTCAGTTGTTTCTCATTATATGTCTAGATAAACATTATAGTGTTTAGGATCAAAGTGGCCACTGCTAGTAAATGGGGAGAATATAATAGGGGCTTTAAGTACAACATCTAAGCTGCTTTTTACTACATGAGCCTCAAGTGTAGAAAATTACCCTTTTTACATTTGCTTTGAATTTCTGAATTTCTTTACATTTGCTTTAGAAATTCTAAGTGGGATTTTCTGTTCCAGTTTCAAGGTTAACTGTTCCAACATGTTCATGATTAAAATCTGTATTTGCCTTCTGCTTCAAGTACAAGGACCACAAATTATCAGCCAGAGTCACAGGAAGGGTTTTATTCTGTGGAGTGGTCACATTTTAAAGGCAGAAATTTAGAAATACTGTCATATGCTAGTCTGTCCCAGAAAACATGCTGGTTTTGGGAACAGGCATGAGGAGGCTTTGAACTGACTGGAAAAGTCAAAAAGTCATCCCAGAGGTCATCCTGAATTTTAAGAAATGTTATCCTGCAACAAAGGAAAAAGCCAGTAACAAGATTCTCGGACAGTTCAAACCCTTAGCCTGGATGCTCAGTTTAGGCAACTCATATCTGATCTTTAAAACAGTGTGACTTCTGAAAGCACCCAAACACAATTCAGGAGCAGGTGCAGTTTAAACTGCACACAGAAGTAAAGACATGTAAGCCAGTCTGCTAAGGTTTTTCAGGGTCTACAAATGATCTTGCAAAGGTCTACCCTGATACCTAAGACAGGCCCAATGCAAAAACTGCAGTGTTTACATTATATCTGAAGGATGGAAGGATGAGCCTTCTCTGGTGGCATCATCCTGGCCACTTGTGCCCCTGATCAACCCTACATGGCTTGACACCAGTCAGATCACACAAGAAAACAGTTCAGCTCACTGAAACAACCCCGAAGACAAACTGCATTCATTTGACTGTGCTTCTCTTGGGATCAGACAAGTGTTGGAGCTCTGAACTTGGGCCAGCCATCTTGAGAAACATAGACTTTTTCACCTCTTACTAGGTCAAGGGTGATATACATCAGGCAGAGAGCATGATTACTCTTGTACATCTTACTCTCCCTCTCTCATGGGACTGCTCAGTGAATCATGCCAAAGACTTGATCCAAGCTACAAATAATGCAAGACAATAAATAAATATAAAAGGGTATTTTTAGCTCAGGAAAGCTTGTTGATTTGGCTCACTATGGTGCCCCATGCATTGGAACCAGCTCCAAAGACAGCAAGGAGGCAGAAGCAAACAGTTGAGGGAACGAGCATGCCTGCTTGTGAAGCTGCAGAGGGAAACCCAGACATAACAAGCCCCAAAGAGGCTTCAGGTTGGTCCTCCAGGACCAACTCTTTTTCTCGTGTACTGTGAGTAGAGAGCACTTTGATGGATCTCGACCAAAGACGTCTTAAGCCACATGCAAAACCGCTGGTCCCCTCCATCAGACTCATCACATCCTCTAGGCAGTAAACAGTAGAAGTAAATGAGATGTTAGCTAACATCTGGAGTGCAGAAGGAAATGGGTTGGTTGCTCCTGCTAAGAACTCTACAGTATATGACTAGCATCAGTCAGACCACCACAGAGAAGCTTTTCTCCTCATGCACAATCTTCTGTTTGCTCAAAGAGATATAAGCCAAATCCCTGCTTGCTACAAAGAGATCTAAGCACATCCACAAAGTGATGACACCAGTATTTACCAAATGAGAACCTGGGTCGTAAGCAGTATATGCTGAGCAAATAAAACCCAAATCAAACGAAACAAGCTAAATCCCTGCAGCAGTATTACTGAACTCAGGCAAGGGTGCAGAATAATTTTCCAGCTAGAACATTTGGAAAGAAAAGAAAATGGCCTGCTTGCATCTGATGAATAATATAATTCCTGCAATTTCTTTGCTTATGGAAATTGTGTTCTAAAAAGATACATGCTATAATTATCTGTATATAATATTACAGTGTGAATGCCATTCTGGCCAGAGGCACAGACAATGAGGTGCTCACCTCGCTCCACAGAGTTTTAAGTGGGATGTGCATGCTTGAGTGCATAGAATTTATAATGATTTAACCTCTATTGAGCGTGACCTATTTGCCCTCCAAAGGACAGATTCTGATGTCACATACATTCATTACATATTTGTGTTTCAAAGTGGAGCAAAGCCAGCACCACCCAGGTCAGTGGTGGGCATGGATACTTCCATGGTGCTGCTGGGGACTATGGTAGTATGGACCACATAATATATGTTCTATGTGGACACTTACACATGGCTGCAGCACAATTTAGCTAAAAAACAGAGTAAAGAATTCAGAGTGAGAATGTCCCTGACCAGTAGAAAAGCTGAGATCCAGAACTGAACTTCACAGCATGGACTTATCCCTAAAAGTCCAAAGCTTTGCTTTTATCTGTGATCTTAATATAATAAAAATACAGCCAGTCTGGAAACTTTTGACACAGAGAAGACGTCCCAAGAGGCTGCTGCCTGCAGCAGTGCTGAGAACAGGGCTGTGTCCTGGAAGTGCAGGGTTTTCCAGCCCCAGCCTGGCTGATCTACCGGACCCCCAGAGTCCCAGCCATCACTCCTGTGATGTAAAGGCAAACCAAAAGTCTGCAAGGCAGCAGACCATGAAGCATTTTAATTCTATGGGATATTGCTTTTAGCACATATGCTGCAATTCGTAAATGCTAAGGTGATGCTTGTCTTGAATCAGTCACAGGATTACCTCAACAGACGGCTAAAAAAAAATGCAGATATTGCTGAAATGACCCAAATATCAGGTGATGTATAAGGCAGCAGCAATCAAAGGGCTGAGGAAAGAGGCACACTGTACTGATGGATGCAAACTCACTGAATTTTAGCACTTATATAGAGTGAAGGGTTGGCTCTGCTGAATACTAAAATCCTCTGTGTATCCACAGACATGTTTGCTCCTCCCCTTCTCTGCCTCAAACTTGGATTTAAAGGAGTATTTCTAGGTGATGCAAATGGGTTCACCCTCTGCAGCCCTTTGCTTCTTGGCCATTTTTTTTCTTGTGCAGCCCAAAGTAGTGGACTGAAACCTATGCCTTTCTTAAATGGCATTTTCCCCAAGAGATGGTAGGGAGACAGAAGGCAGTGATCCATCTGTAACACTAAGCAACTATATTCTCCCAAATCCATACAAGCTCAGATTAAACAAAGTGGTCCCTGCAGCACTTGCCCTGATACAAGTGAAATCTGTTTTCATCTTTTCCCCAGAAAATCTCTGATTACTAAAGTCCCAATCCTGTCACGCATATTTGTCCCAGACTTGAGAAAAACCCCAGAGAATGCTTTGAAACCAAATTATCACCAATCCCCAAATCATCAGCTGTTTC